TTCAAACACATGATATTTAGTTGCTACTTTGCATCATTCCTATATAAAGTTTTATCTTTTATTATTTGTTCTACCTTCAGCAGGCATGGACATTTTCTATCCCACACAGTATGTTCAATGTCTAGTGATGTGTTGTACTTGGTATTTGCTCGTATACAATTTATACATTTTTGTTGTTCTTCCTTACAATTTTTCTGCTCATGAGGACCACTACATTTTGGACATGCTAACCCTAACGTACAGTCCTTAGCTATATGATTAAATCCTGAACATTTGAAACATTTTTTTACACTTGAGAATTCATATATAGAGCACTCATATAAACTAATATTTACCCTACCTTTATTTATTAGTTGATTGTATGTGTTCATGTCAACTTCTATCAACATATTGTATTTATTATTATTCTCTTTAGATATATGTATAATGTTCAACATGAATTCTTCATCTACCTTATTCAGACCATTTTGTACTATTAACTTTTCCTTCAAATCCTCCTCATCCTTTTCTATATGCTTTGGTATATTTACAATTTTTAGTTTTGGTATAATTTTTTTAGGCTCTGATACTACATATCCTGCTCCTAGTGACTATGTAACGTGATCAATAAATCTATCTAATCTAATCTAATCTATAACCTCCAAAAGTTCAAACAAAATTCCAATACCAATTTCCTCTCCCTATCCTCCCTAGGTACGCACGATTTGTTTCGTACATTATAGGGATATTCATTCGTGCTCTCCAAGAGGTAAATAAAATATATATCTTATCGGAAATGTTATTCAACAGTATCCATTCATCCATCATAAAATTGTATTGTTATAATAATTGTTGTTTATATTTATTTTTCTTTTTGACGTCTTTAATGAAGTCATTATTTAACACAAACGCGTATACAAACACCTTCTTTCACGATACGCAAATTTTATTCTCAGAAGATTGGCAACATAATTCTGTCATGCCGAACTGAAGTCAGAAACTGAATGTTTTGTATCAATGAATCAAGTTGTCTAGAGTATTGATAGGATGTTAATAATTCATGATGTTAATAATTCGTGAATTGCAACCAATGAACACTACTTTCTAATGATTTTGTCCGTTTTCGAATTGTTCCATAGTGGACAACCCTGATTAGAGGACATTTATGCATACTGATTTCTTACTTCAAAGTGACATGAAAAAAATCACTTTTACAATAGAGTAGCCTAACATTTTTGCCCATTTCGCCTAATATTCCATATGATATTTATTTATTGATTCACTTCTATTGTTGGACAATGATGCCTTGACAATGGACAAATATTTCCAGAACATGTCCCTTTTTATTGATGTAATGACCACACTGAAATTTCGTGGATTTGATATCGAGTATTCTTGAATAGTAACAACTATTCTCCACTTTGACAAAGTATGAACTTTCACCAGAGATTATTATTACTAACAGAAACCGCACGAATCGAAATTTTAATTATTGCTGGCTGTGGAGATGACAATAATGAAGGAACGCAACTGAACAGAGACTGTACAAATATAATAATAATAATAATAATAAACGCCTTTTATTTTCAATTACAATATAAACATAAATAATTCATAGTAAACTGCTGGCGAAGTCTAGCTTAAAGCTATTCTACTCAACCAACAGGGGGACAATTCCCAAGAGAAATAATTTCCATATATACATAAAAGAAAAAAAACGACAGTGGTATGTCTAACAGTATTCACTACTAACTATTTCGGTATAATGCTGGTCAGACCAAAAATATAGGATTATTGAAATTTATAGAATTAGAACAATTTATGAACGAATGAAAGAGTGCACATTTATATAATTAATATCACTAAACGGGGATGAGTACAATGAATGCTTGATGCTAGGTAGAACAATCTCGCTGTAGTAAACAGAGGCGGTTAAGAATGATTGCGCTGTGTTTCAAGTAAATGAATTTTTGATTTATATTTGAATTTATTCATATTGTATTTTTTGAATTCATCTGGCAATTGATTGTACATTTGAATAGCATTAAATACGAATGACTTTTGGAACATTGCAGTTCTGTGTTGAGGCATGGTCAGAGTGGACGGCGTTTTCCTGACATTTTTTGAATGTATCCTGGATCTAGGAATGAAATTTCGCACCAGGGCCGGTGGGTTAGGATCATTGAGGAGTTTATATGTGAATGTACCTAAATGGAGCTGTCTTCTGTTTTCCATGTTGAGCCAGTTACATTCTTGAAATTTATGAGAAATATGGTCATATTTTCTTATTCCATAAATTAGTCTACAGCAGCTGTTTTGCACTTTCTGAATCTTTTCCTTGTCTACCCTAGTTAAGCATGGACCATAGATAAAATCACAATAGTTGAAGTGGCTGAGAACCAATGACTCACATAAAGTTCGCTTCATCTTAACACCTAGAAAATGGCGGGCACTATATATGAGTTTCAAAGATGCGAAAGCTTTGCTTATGTTGTTACTCTTGATATGAAGAGAGAAACGCATATCCACATCGATCACTAATCCAAGGTTATTGGCTGAATCACATACTAGTAATGGTGAATCGTCAATTTGAACTGTCATATTATTTCTTACAATATTCCTGTTATTTTTATTGCCGAAGAGTAATACTTTCGATTTTTCAGAATTAAGTTTCAAATTGTGTTCATCAGAGGAAGTCTTGATATTTTTCAATTCATCATTTATAATTTTCTCGGCATTAACCAAATTCTCAGTGCTAAAGTTAAGGTACAATTGTGTATCATCTGCAAAAGCTTGTACTTTACAATCTTTAATGTTATTTAAAATATCGGTAGTGTATATAATAAATAGCAACGGACCCAGTATGGAGCCTTGCGGAACCCCTGAGAGTATATCCAGTTTGGATGAGTATAACTCATTCACAGATATTCTTTGAGAACGACGCAAAAAGTAATTCCATATCAGAAACACGGATGATTCATCGAAGCCATAAAATCTCAATTTTGCACAAAGCAGCTCATGATTAATAGTATCGAAAGCTTTTGAAAAATCGAGTAGTACCAGAGCACTAGATAAACCTTCATCAAAAGCCTTCAATATATCAGTTGTTACAGTCGCCAAAGATGTTTCAGTATCCCTGGAAGTTCTCTAAAATGTTAGAGTTTCTTGGCCTCTGTGCCCTCTGGCATCTCACTTTTAATTATTATTCCTTCCATTTTAGTTGGAACAGGAAAATTGCAATGATTTCTGGAGTTTCTACATATTGTTTCAAAACATGTTCAATCACAGTCAACAAACCGTTTATTCATATTGTTTCAATCAACTAGTTTTCAAATACGTCTCTGTATGCCTCTTGAAGAGAACAATAATATTAGCACATAGTTATTACTGAGATGCAGCAGTGTTTGTTTAAACAACCTAAATTTGCACTTTTGCAACAAGATGGCTCTGAGAGCTATATTGCCTAAGGTTGATAGAACTGATGATTGTTTGAAGAGGGGAAGTAGTACATACATATACAAAATCTAATGCGGAGTTCCCAGAAATGTATGCTTGTACTTTTCTAGATCACGACTGAATTGGTATATCTTCTTGTAGACAGTTGTAGAATACAGATTCCCATGACTCCGAAATGAGATTTTCAATGAATTGACATCATGAATGACCACTCTCCATCACCGCGTTTTCGGATCTGGGAACATTCCTATGCAAATAATCAACAGTTCTATCCACTTTTATAATGTAAACAAATTTAGTATCAACATAGAGTTTTTAACGACAAAATCAATTGGTAGGCTTGCCTACTGATTTCTGTTCATAGCTATCTGGCGCTAGGTATGAATATGTAAGTCAATTTAGATAACTTCACCGATATGATAACCGATACAAATTGGTATCAAAAGAAAGGTAATTTAATTACAAAAATAACAGTATAGGCTTGCCTGAAAAAAACCTCATTATTGCCATGCTTCAAAGTTTTAAAATCGGAGCGATTAAATACAAGGTGTCCCAGAACAACGTACCATAAATTCTACAGGGTGAACTAGACTCATTGAAATCAACTTACTCCATACGAAAATGCACCATTCAGTTGTGAGAGGACAATGGAGAATAATGTTATTTAAAGATTTTCCTGAATATTTCAAAATCCTTGAAAGGTATTGCTCTGAAATTCGTATGGCAATTTACAAAAATGAATATGCATGAAAACCATGTCAGAACAATTAAATCAATATACAAGGACATACATATTTCACAATCCCTTTGATGAAAATTGATGTAACTTTTTTGGATGAACGACAAAATTAATTATCCACTTTATTTCTAACTGCAGTTTTTTCAAATATTTTTTCTTGGTTTTCGGAATATCTAACAAAATTAATTTTGGTGCTTCTCCATACTTGTTTATGATGTGTCAGCATTATCATGTTTTGCAAGTTTCTATCTCATTTGAGCTGAGTTATTATCCACAATAATCATGTTTATGCACTACTTTAGCATAAATGATAAGGTTGTTGGTCATCTTCACTTTTTTTTCTCGGAAATAGTAAAGGCCAATTTTCTCTACTTATAATATCGCCCTTCTTCCACATTGAAACGCAGATTTGTAGCATAACCATTGAAGTACCCTTCATGAAACACTTGTCAGTTGGCCTAGGCTGGTTGATTCGCCAAAACTCATCTGACAATCGATTTAAATAAAATCTTAGACTTGGGATTTTAGGTCTCTAAAGGATGCTCGAAAGGAAGCGAGAAAGGAAGTGAACATGCTTAAGTCCAATGTGGCGAATTTGATATGAGTCTGTGATTTCATTTGAGGCTATTGTGACGTTAAACATAATGGAACATGAAATGAGTTTTCAAGTGAGCCTTTAAATTCATTTGAGGTGGACCTTCATCCATGCTAAATATCTCTGATTGGAACATCTCTGTGATAAAACAATGAACATTTATAATGTATCTGAATATACAAGCGTTGAAGCGTTCTTCTCAACATGAATTGGAAAAAATGATTGACTTACCCCGCAAAAATTGCAGCTAAATCTGATATAAACCATTCTGGACTATTGAAACCTAATATGCACACCGCGTGCCTCCTTTCCAGTCCTAAGTACAAAAACGCTTTGGCACAGGTACGGACATGTTGAATGTATTCCCTGAAAATAAAATTCATAATTGCATATATGTAACGAACTACCAAAGGCTAAAATTCTCAAACTATTATTATTCCTAAAATCAAGTCTAGAGCGTTTTCCATATAATTGTATTGTGTATTATAATTTTGTGAAATAAGTTCAATTAACTTTAATATACTTTAATTCACTTGTGTGAATGAACTAGTACTTATTTAATTATGTAAAATCTGATGATAACATTTTTAAAATTACAATTTAATTAAATATTGATCATCGCGACAAGCTTTTATGATCATATAAATTGTGTATAATGAGGTTATAAGTTGATAGTTGAAATTATTAAGAAACATTTCATTTTCTTCTTTTGCGGAGCGTTTAAATAAAAGCTTTTTAATAATTTTTTTTTACTTTTGATTTATTTTTTAATTTTTAGTTATCGCTAGCTGGATTTTTTGATTTACTCTCAACGAGCCTTTTCATTTGATACCCATATTGTAGAAGTATATTAAAAATCACCATTCCGCCATCTTGGATGGTCCGCCATATTCGATTTAGAATGACGTCACATCATTTTTCGAGTTACTCTCAACGAGCCTTTTCATTTGATACCCATATTGTAGAAGTATATCAGTATGTGTCACTAGATAAAGTCAACAGTGCACTAAGAAATGTTACCTGTGGAGTCCCAAAAGGGTCAGTCTTAGGGCCTATGTTGTATTCCTTACATTCACTAAACCTTAAAAAAGCCAAATTGAAAGCTCGCTACTATATATTTGCAGACGACACTGTTCTTGTCTATGAAGGAAATAACCTAACTGAATTGGAACAGTTGGTGAATAATGATTTAAAACTGTATGCTGAGTGGCTTTTAAGTAATAAACTTAAAATAAATATTAATAAAACTATTTTTATGTTGTTCAAAAACAAAAATATGGAAACCCGTGATTTGTCAATAAAAATTGGTTCCCAAGAAATAAATATAGTCGAATACACCAAATATCTAGGACTGGTTATAGATAATAAGCTGAACTGGCAGGAACACTTGAATCATATTTCAAAAAAGGTAGTCCCTATGATTGGTGCTTTGTATAGATGTGGTAGCTATCTGAATACTCAAAATAGGCTTATGATTCACAATGCATACTTTCTGTCAGTTTTTCGCTATCTCATAACAACCTGGGGTATATGTCGACCAACACAATTTAAGAAAATACAGACTCTTCAAAATAAGGTAGTGAAATTTTTATTTGGATATAGCTACAGAACACATACAGAGAAAATATATAAAGAAACAGGAATAATGCCCTTGGAACAAATATTACAAATAGAACAATGCAAATACACTTACAAAATACAAAAAAATCAACAAAAATGTAATACTAAATTCAACTTAGTTAACGAAACTCACACATATGAGACTAGAAATCAAAATAATTTTTATCTATCAAATGTAAGAACAAACTTGGCACTAAATAATCCTATATACAAATGTCTAGAAACTTTCAACTCTTTGCCAAATCCTGTGAAAAATATAGATAGTTATTCTTCATTTAAAATAAACTTGATTCAGCACATAAATCAACAAACTACTGTACTATGATACTTAAGATTGTAATTGTTGTTGTTTGTGTATAAGTATATTAATGTATATTAATGTATACTAATGTATATTATGGTAACTACATAAATTGTTATTGAATCATATGTCAATTATAATGTTCCGTCACCAGCATGTTGCTGATTAGGAACAAAATGCTAGATGTATTTATTAATATGGATGCTAAAATGGTTTAATAAAAAAAAATAAAAAAAATAGCTATTCCGCCATCTTGGATGGTCCGCCATATTGGATTTAGAATAATGTCACATTATTTTTGAATTACTCTCAACGAGCCCTTTCATTTGACACCCATATTGTAGAAGTAGATTAAAAATGACCATTTCGCCATCTTGGATGATCCGCCATATTCGATTATTTAGAATGACGTCACATCATTTTTCGAGTTACTCTCAAGGAGCCTTTTCATTTGATACCCATATTGTAAAAGTATATCGAAAATAGCTATTCCGCCATCTTAGATAGTCCGCTATCTTATCGTGCATTGTCATCCAAACTGAACGTGTATACAAAATTTCATCTCAATCGGTTGAAGATTTCTACTTCAAAATTGAGTTCAAAGATTTCACCCGAACATACATACATCCATACAAACATTCAATGCAAGTTAAATAAAAGCTTTTAAAAATAAAAGGTTTTCTATATAAAACAAAAACATAATTCATTTTTAGCCCCGTGTTCAAAAAACATTTTGTAGCGATCAAAATGATTGTGATTGGTAGACCTTACGATATTGGCCTGTATCCCATGGCAGTGAAACTATGAAGTTTTTCCACACTATGTGTATACCCGATATGGAGTGTTCTATTTGAAATTCATACTATCAGACAAATATTAATAGACGCCAACTCCAATCATCGCCCAGTATGTTTTCGTATGGTTCAAATAATACACCTTCAGGAAATGAAATCAACGTGCCCATGGTTGTTTTGCAAGCTCTAGTATAATAATCGCATATATATACACTCATAAAAGTGGTAATAAAACACATGAATATAGATAAACATTTTACCCACTCAAGCTTAGAAATTGCGTAGGTGGCCTAGATTTTCTTAAAATAGCATTCCTGTTGGAATATAATTGTGCAAAGTCATCGGTTTCAATTTCATACATACATGGTGTTACAAATTCTTGGCTAAGCATGGGGATCTTGGTCACCTCAAGCGATCCAGAGTAGGTTGAATTAGAGCAAAGTTGCATCATTTCATGCTCAACAAAATGCTGCATTGAACTTGGGAAAATTTTAATTGAGTACCTCGGGAGATATCCGAATAATAACGAAAATATGCAAAATCGTTTTCAATTTTTAGGCAGTTCATTTGAAGAGATAAGAATCTCAAAATGAATGTCACTTCATCATTGCCATTTTTTCTCCTCTACATGATGGGATTGGCCATCATCAACTTTTTTTTTTTTAAATACGGACCTGAATTTTTTATTTCATTTTTCGATAGTTTTCGATCGAATTTGGAACACTCTGTATATAGTATGTGACCAACTCAAAACTAGAGCACTTTATTAGCTATTTCTTACTCCCCCACTGGTTGAAATACCCCTGAAAAGTCTGTACAGAATTTTACCACATAGTCCTCATACCAAAACAATTCGATACAAGCAAAGTAACTTCAGTACAAAGTTGCTTAGTTTGGGCGCTAAACGGCTCCGAAGTTACAACTTTCAAATCGTATTCGCTCTTTGAAACGCCTCATGAGATTCCACTCAAATTCGGTAATTACGTTGGTAATAAAACCCATATCATGATAATGATAAATATCATTCAATGGGCGTAGAACTTGATGTTTTCGGTGAATAAACATCTAAAACTTCTACATCGATGGAAAGAAAGTTTGGGTTTGAATATGAAATTTGGATAGCGTAACTTGTTCACCGCGAAAAAGGTAGTCTTGATAAAATTCGATTACTCTCATGGCGCTCTCATGGTTTCGAGATAATTTGAATTTTAGTAATTCAAAGCATATGTTTACATTGAAACGACCAACAGATATGTTCAAAAGGTTCATCATTTTCACGTATACAAAAATTTATACGGCGAATACGGCGAAAAGAGTTGATACAGGCATATACACCTCAGTACCTAATAGGCGATTCAAAATAAGCGATACGCTCTCTTGCGGATATTCAATTCAAGTAACTAATGGAAAGTACAGGGTGGGCAAAATTGGGCGTTTTCACCGTCTATCTCAATAACTAGAGGAGTTATCGAAAAACCGATATACATGTTCCGGGTTCGATTTTGGAGAAACCTCGAATGGCACAATCAAAATTTAGATATCTTCATTCGTTTTAGAGATACAGGGGGAAATTGAAAATTTGCCGATTTCGATTTTATTTTCTGACTACTTTACGGTGAGAGGTATCATAAAATTTCAAACGTATATTTATACAGTATGATGCGTGGAATCCATTGGCATCATCAGAAATTTTATACAGGGTGACGTTGAAAAGATACGGCAGCCAATTATGTTTTTTCTAATGGAACACCCCGTATATTTTGGCACAGTTGAATAGTCCCAGGCGTTCTCATTACAAATATATATATATATAACCCTACCTTTTCCTTCCACAATTTCAGATATATTCGCAAAAATATATTCAGTGTGTCACATTTCTTATGGTTACACCCCCGTATCTTCTGTATCTGGAATTTGGACATCTTCTATAAGGCTATATTTTTAACGCAACCTACTGATTTCCTAATTGAGTAAATTATTGGTCTTATTTCTGTATCTCAAATGTCTCGATAACAATGATATCAAATCGAATAATTTCCCATTTTATTTCTCACCAAATATCCATTTGTCTGGAAATAACATTCCCAATCATATTCATTTTCCACCTTTGGTGAATATATACAGAGTGTCATTTTCAACCTCGATTCTGCCTGTTGATAGCATTATCCAGAAATATCGATGATTCCATAGCTGCTGGCGAGCAGTGTTATCATTGGAGATGATCCCACTTGGTCCATGACTCCATGAGTGTATCATTTGTATCTTTCTGACAGTTGCGAATTTTTGAATCCTACCTCAATTATTTTTACAGAAGATACGGGGGTGTAACCATAAGAAATGTGACACACTGAATATATTGTTGCGAATATATCTGAAATTGTGGAAGGAAAAGGTAGGGTTATATATATATTTGTAATGAGAACGCCTGGGACTATTCAACTGTGCCAAAATATACGGGGTGTTCCATTAGAAAAAACATAATTGGCTGCCGTATCTTTTCAACGTCACCCTGTATAAAATTTCTGATGATGCCAATGGATTCCACGCATCATACTGTATAAATATACGTTTGAAATTTTTTGATACCTCTCACCGTGAAGTAGTCAGAAAATAAAATCGAAATCAGCAAATTTTCAATTTCTCCCTGTATCTCTAAAACGAATGAAGATATCGAAATTTTGATTGTGCCATTCGAAGTTTCTCCAAAATCGAACCCGGAACATGTATATCGGTTTTTCGATAACTCCTCTAGTTATTGAGATAGACGGCGAAAACGCCCAATTTTGCCCACCCTGTACTACATTGAATCTTTGTTTACATTCAAGTTTCCATGCATTTTATCGAAAGATCAGTGTGGTCATTGTGATATTTTTAGAGTTTGAATTCTTCAGTAGAGTATCTTTTAAATCATTTTTGTTTCGTTTCACATTTTATTCATGAAAGTTTTCTCACTGTATTTCACAGAAATTGATAATTTCATTCAGTGTATAATTGAAAGATTTTCTCTCAACTTCGAGATTGAATTCAGTTGCATTTCATTCCCAGAAGTGAAGTTACAGTATGAATTAAAATAAATCATATCCTAATTCAAAAGCAAAGCACATATGTTCAATATTTCTCACTAGGTAGATCAATTATTCGCAGATACATCCAGCTGTGAGGACTCTTTCTCTTTCATATACACATGTAAGTAGATGAATTGATTTCAATATACAGTGTGTCCTAGCTAAATCTTGTCACCCACAATCTCCGATGTCATTGAAAAAATTGAAAATTGCTCGGACAGGTCGATTTGAATTTGGCGAGGCACACATTTTTCTGTAATTATCATGTCTCAAAGTTGAAACCTTGAAACGTAACGGGCATCAACTTTCGATTTCCAAATAGAACACCCTGTATTTCATGGCATCTTTAGATTCCCCCTGAAGAGCTGCTTTCATCAATGCATCACACTTAGGGTCTAGCAAGAAAGATTAAATAGATATAAGGTGTTCAAAATCGAAATTTCTCAACTTTATTTTTTTTGTATCGAAACTATACATTACCGGTCAAAACGGTTTTCTTGTATCTATCCTAACTTTTCATTTACTATCTACCTCGCTATCTACTGACATCTAATTGGAACACATTTATTTATTTTATTTAGAAAGCAAGGTTTTTCAACAGAGGAACTATAAATAGTCCTTCCAATAACAGGATAACACAGTGATGCAAAATTGTTATCATTACATGGGTTGCATCTACTTACTATCATTTGAAAACTAAGTACCTACCTACTCCATAACTTTCATTCAAAAAATAACATATATGAATATGTATAGGTAGTATTTTGACACAGACTGGAGAAGTACAATTTCGATATGACTTAAGTATCATAAATGAATGAATACCAGCACTATTTCTATATCGATAATATCGATAATATCGATGATATCGATAATATCGATAATATCGATAATATCGATAATATCAATAATATCGATAATATCGATAATATCGATAATATCGATAATATCGATAATATCGATAATATCGATAATATCGATAATATCGATAATATCGATAATATCGATAATATTGATGACATCGATAATATTGATCATATGGATAATTATAGATAAAATTTTCTATGATTATCCATAATTTTCGAAATATCTATTGATTGTTAATTTTAATCGCCCACTCCCATAGTCCATTTCTCGGTCCATTTCAACTAAGAATTGGAGGTCATATGAGAGCGTTGATCTTCGCTTTCATTGGCTAATATTGGAGTTGGAGACAATATTACACTTGCTCTATATTATGACTTCTCGACGTGGCGTAAAGGATGAAGTTTTCTTCATGGAAGATGTTTACATCATGAAATTTCGATTATTATCGTACGTTGAAATATTATCATCATTTTTGGATTAGGCATCATATATTTATTTCGTTAGTGTTAACATTCCTTCGCTTTTCACCCGACACACACCCAATGATCCCTTTCAGGTACCTAATTAATGCAAAAAATATCAACAATATCGATAATTTATAAAAGATTATCTTTTTATCGATAATATCGATAATATCAATAATATCGATAATATCGATAATATTGATGATTTCGATTATATCGACAATATTGATAATATCGATAATATATATCTATAATATTTGATATTATCGATAATATCGATAATATCGATAGTATCGATAATATTGATAATATCGATAACTTCGATAATATCGATAATTCTGATAATATCGATAATATCGATAAACCGATAATATCGATACAATGTGATTATATATAGATAGTCGATAATCAAAAATCACTATCGTCCACCCCTATCAATAAAACACCCTGTATATCATGATAATTGCGTTATCAACTGAAAACCAAATAAAGACGATTATTATCATTATTATTATTATGAATACATCTCTAGCATGCTCCTTAGAAACAAAAAGAGCAATATGAAATCACTATGATGCAGCAAAAAGATTGTCTGTGATTTCATTAGAGGCGGCCATTCATCTATGCCATATCTTTGATCAGTTCAATTGGGATAAAACATGGAACATTTGAAATGAAGCAGTGATAGATCTGCTGCATGCTATGGACAACTGGGACCATTACGTTTAATTGTAATGTAATAATTATAATGTCATTCACATTAATTTTTGATCAATAATATTACAAATCTGACTTTTGATTGATAGTTTTATATTATGAACTTTAAAAATATGGGAGTAACGGATTATAGGTTATATGAAGCTATTTTCAAACGTATACGGGTTTCCCAATGAATACACGTGAATACATCTTGAATATAATAAGGACGGAAAATAGAAAAAACTGCTTTAGTTACTGAGTCAAATTTTGAAAAATAATATTGGATTTGTAACTTTTTATGGCAATATCTCTGCTTAATGTATTTTTTCGTAAAAGAGAACTTACGAATAAGTTATTGTTTCCCATTTCTCGTCGACTTTATAGCTCAATGCCACGTGGTCTGGGAATTCTTCTGCAGTGCTTTTGAGCAATCCGGGGACGGAGATGGGTTTGGTGGTCTCTAAGGCTTTTCCATTTTCCGGTATACGAAGACGAACGTATCCGTCTGCTCTCGTCGCATAGTATTCATCGGCCGGCACGATTTGATCGGGTCCTAAAACCATAAGAAACAGTTAATTGTGCTCAAGTTTTGTCTAAATACACTCAGCTGCAAAAAAAATGCAACTAGTTAATAATTATTGTTCAAAATGGGCGAGTGGAGTTATAATGAATTATTGGCATTCAATTACTACACTGTGTCGTTAGGGACCTAAATTAATTTTTGCAAAATTTCTCACACTTTTTTATGTAAATAATAAGTGTATGGGTTGTTTGAAATTGTTGAATTTCGGAGCTCATATCAAACTTACCATCATGGCCACTATTTAGCGGTACCCGTGTACAGGTGTTCGGAAATGTAAAAAAAACAGTCACATAGAAATACTCGAGCGCATCAGATATTAATAGTGTATGCGCCCCACGTGTTTCTGATAACCGATTATTATGAATCTGCCGTTTTGCATGGTGGGGGTGGCCGTACGAAGGGATAGAGAAAAGGTAAAAAAAAATCATTCGAGCGCGTCAGATATTGAGAAGGGTTATTAAGTGAACCCTCAAGTACCGCCTATTCAAAAGACTGACGATTTGGACGCGACCAACAGTCATGATCAATTTTTGAAAATGAAAAAAAAAATCGTGACCTTGAAATACTCGAGCGCGTCAGATTATTGAACAGACGCTTCATCTTGATGTCCTTGTCGTATCGACCCATACTCTGACAATTATGTGTAGGAATTACCTTAATCTGACGGTTGGATGTTTTTTTGTTATGTTAACTGAATGTAATAACTAAAATATAAAATATACACGGTGGGTCAGTTTTTTGTAGCAGGACTTCAACAGCTCGAAGAATTCACAATTTTGAAATTTATTGCCTATAGTGTGGCATAGTTAGATAACGGCTTTGCTGTTTGAGATAGATGAAAAAAAATTCTTGAGATGGTCTAGTCTCATGAGCAGTACATTTCTGAAATTTACGTAATACAGGGTTACTCAAAAATGTCCCTATCTTAACTTCTGATTCACTGGTGCATAGTTTTCAGTGGCTGCGAGCACCACACTAAATTGATGATATTCGCTACTTCGGTTTGTGCAAATCGGCAAATTATATTATTTTCGTGATCCGTGACTAATTCCCTTCAAATTAAGAAAAAAAATTTTTTTTTCAACTTTGTGGCTATTCCATTCCCGTATATCACGCTCAAATCGTCAGATTATTGAAATGCACAGTTTTCTGCATGTAATCAACGTACCATGTCTATTGATTTTGTTTTACTAATCTGATCGGCTGTCCAAAACTTTCTACACCATATAAAGGGCTCAGGTATGGTGGTAGTACTTCACAAGGTCCAAGGACACCCCCCTTATGTAAATCTTGAAATCCCCGCTTGGGCTTCTCTACTAGTCATTATACAAGGAAAACACTCTGTGGAATAATATCTATGCCAAATTCATCCGAAATATCAATTTTTGTTGAGAATCATTCCTTCCAGAGCCGTAACTAGGGTGGATGGCGCCCGTGGCGAACTTGTGAATTTGCGCCCCCTATTCAACAACAGTAAGGCACTTCCGGAGAAATTAGAATAATTATTTATTTTTCCTTCAAAACAGGAACTGAAAACACAGGAATATGGTAGAAGTCCATAGGAATATGAGACAGGAAGTGAATGACATAAATTAATATTCTCACAGAACAAGTCATTGGAGAACTTGTTGTGAAACTGTCATCAGTGATATTCAGGTTCGACTGCTTCAAATATCTTTCCATAAATGTACTGCACTTTTTTTGTGTAATATTTCTAATTCCGAATTTTTCTAAACGCGTTCTTGTTTTACAATTCTTCAATTGTATTGAACTTATCTGAAATACAAGTACCTACTTAGTTATCCGATATTATTCGAAAATTCATGGAACAATTATTGACTAAGTATACCTAGAGTCACTGGATGGTATTAGTTTGAAAAGAGTTCGGTCACAGCTGAATTATTGTCCTTTTTTATTTTCTATAATACAATGGTTGGAGTGAATAAAAGAATAAGACACGAATAAGACATATATTCTGCTCTTTGTCTTTTCAATTTCCCTAGTAGCGCAATATTTGCCAGATACGATTTTAGAGGTTATATTTTCTGTCAAATCAAACAGAACCGTAGATGATGGACAATGGAAATAGGGTACAAACACCCACTTCAATTTATAGTGAAACACTTCTAGCAGAACAACTGTCATATAGATAGAAAGAATGCATGTAACAACATTTTAATATTAAATTAAATATAAAACATGAAGATATTAATATTAAATTAAAGGTAGGTATTCTCAATATACAGAAAGTAACATAAGTACGTTCAAGTGGAGTATTTCTGAGACAATTTTAAGGAATAAAGTTTATATAAGCTTATTGTGTCCGGAAATGCTTCATTTCGGAGATACAGAGTGTTGAAATACAGAATCATTTTTCGATAAACATTTCATAGGAAAAAGGTAGTTTACTTTGACGAGACCTATATACCACATACTTGGTCTTGTAAAGTTCTCAGCAACTTCACTTAGCGCCCTAGGAGCTAAGTAACATAGATCGATATAGGACATTGAAAATATCTCCAAAACGATAACCTCCAGCGTAATAAAGGCCCTTATAATAATTCCCTTGATACATAAATAACTATTCACTCTCCACTGTCAAATTTTGAATATATCACGTTGTAGTTTACTTGCTTTTCTCAGTTTCGTTTTCAAATTTTCAATTCCATTATGTGATTTTGCGATCAATTCCTTTTCTTCCATGATTATTTTGTTTTGTATTTTGCGTGATGATAATAATGGTATTTTGTTCTAGAAATCGACTGCTTTGCAAATTGATGGAACATCAGATTCTCTCAAACAGATTTTGAAATCTTCTGTTTGAAAATGGGCCTAAAATATAGTTTCATTCAATCAGATGCTGTTATAAGAAGTGCATTTTAATGAGTAGGTACCTCACAAATTTTGCTCGTCTTCAAATTGATTGATATTTGTTTTGGAAAATCGAATAAATGATATCCATTTTTTTTTTCAGAATTGGCACAATTCATTACACAGCAAGTAATCTCCATAACTGCTTCTTTCTCGAAAGTATAATTATGAAAATTTATTTCAATTCTGACGTTCATAAAATTTATTGTCGAATTCAAACAATAGGCCTTTTCATTTAGATGACAAATGACTATCTCTGTTTACATCTCGCATTCAACGACAGTAGCGGCCATTTTTACCGAAACACTTACACCACAGTACCACACTCCTCAATAACGAATAAGTAACGTTTTTTGGATTTTTTTTTTTGAATTATTATAGTACAATTAATACACAACAGGAATATGAAAACAAAAATACTATGGAACTATAGCCAATGAGACTTCACCTTCGCATTACCCAATAAATTTTTGGATGTAAAAACGAGCGCATGCGTCTTGAAAATATATCTAGATGAAAAGACCTATTTTGAATGAAAAAGCGCGGAACGACTATGGTGCTCTTGTCACAATGCAAGGTGTGTAACTTAATAAATCTAAACATTCAAAAACCCTAACCGTTGTCATTTCTGTGTCCGAACCCTCGCTCTTATCAAACTAATACCATCCAGTGACTCTAATTATACCGGGAGATAATAAAATCAACTTCATACTCACATTCCCGTTCAAAAGAATCGAATGTGTGGGATGAAGCCTAACTAATCGGAATCAGAATTATAAATATTTACGGGTTGATTCTCTGATTTCCGCTCACAAATTGCATACTTTGTTGACTCGACCGTCATGTCTGACTGTCCGAGTACGAATGGCGGGCGCCGGGCGGCGACACAGCATACGTTTTGTTTTCAATGGGTATATGCATATAATATGGATTTTGTTAAAATATTATCGCTGCGACTGAAACGATTTGTGATCTGAATTTTTTTTTCGCCCCACCCTAGTTACGGGTCCCATTCATCCATTTTGATTCTTAGTTCATATCTTTGAGTACACTGATTTATTTTTAAGAACAAAATGAAATAAATGTCAACTGTAACTATTTTCAGTTTTTTTATCGCTTGGAGCGCACGAAAGGGAATCCCTATAATGTTCAAAGAACATCGTTCGTTCCTAGGGAGGATAGGGACAGGAGGTAGGTATTGGAATTTGTTTTTAACTTTTGGAGTGGAAGCTGATGTCAGGCTTATTAGAGGGGTAAACCGCGGTCAAAATTGTGTACAACAAACTCCAATTTCCAAGGAATTTCAGTTGTTTGTCACTAGAACTATACCGTACTTCACACAAGGAATTCCAAGGAAACCCAAATAATTCCAAGGAAATCCAGGGAATTCCAGTTGTTTGTACACCAGAATTCCACCGTGGTTTACCCCTTGGGCTTATTATTTGCCAATTAGACCAGGAGATGGTGACAGGTGACGATCTCCCATTTTACACTGCATGCCTTTTAAGGCTTTAGAATTGACTCCAAAACATGAACAATAGACGGGTTCCTGGCCGCCGCACGTAGGCACTCCATAAGGAAAAGTGCTTTTCTTTTTATGAAGAATGTTCGTGTTTTTCCGCTAAGTTTAAACAAACTGATGCCCTATAATAATTGATGGCATGCAATCCGCAGCGGCCGAAAGGGCTCAAAAGGGTTACGAAAAGTTTTAGTAACAAAAACACTCCGGAAAAATTGGCATGCGCCCGTCCTCTGACCAACGGTGGAAATTTGCAGAGCAAAATTTATATTGGTTCACTTCTTGCAAGTATTATTTTCGTATTTCATTCAGTGGATGTAATTTATTTTGGTGGCGAGATCATCACTTTGTTCCAACCTTTGTTTAAAATTCCTTGATGGATGGAAACTTGATTTTCCTTCTACAAATGAATATTCCATGTTATTTTCATTCTCAAAAACGGTGCAATTCCAAAGATATTTTGCAGGAGAAACATAAAAAACTGAACAATATACTTTCATTGTTCATTCAACCTTATAGGAGGTGAACGTCACTGGAAACTGAGGTTCTCCCCTTCGTTCAATTGTAGGTTTTGGTAATACAGTAACAATATCGTTGTGTAGTATTTCCTCGAGTATTTCACTTGAATCTTCGATATGTGGATACTTGAACACCGTTACATATCTGGTTTCGCTCATTTTTTTCACAAATTTGAAATTGAAGTTCGTGATTTTACCTACGAAATAATGTTTCGTCTTTTTTCGTGCAAAACTGAATTACGACACAATCATTCAATTTTGGATCCTTGTCTGAATTACGACCCAATCATTCAATTTTGGATCCTTGTGGATCTCTGATGATTTATCGCCTTCGTAGTTTTGCATCTCATTCTCGGAGAAAGAAAAATCAACAAAAAACAAATTTCAAGGTAATTAGAATATGAAACACGGAATGGTGATTGTTAAGCAGTGGAAATTAATTGAGAAAAATTCCTCAAGGTCGTAGCAAACATATAATGATGCAGCGAGGGCTGGACATAGCGTAATGCCTATTATAACGCGTATTTCCACAAATTGTTTCGATTCTGCTTAAACATTGAGCAAAATTTGTAAAAAATAAAATTGATTAGCCTAAAATCAGCCTATGAGTCCCATTATATCAAATCGGTAGAAAATTCATTGTTTTCAAAAATTCCTATGCCGAGTTCTTCCGGAGGCAAAGCAAACAGGTTTCTTTCAAAAAATGTGCAGACAAAATTCGAAAATGGGATAGTTATAGCCTACAGTCAATAATACTATCGATTCGCCTCGTGAAATCGTGATAAAAAAGCTTTCCATAGAAATGCATAACGCCCATCAGTAAATATCGCGTAATTCGACTAATCGTTTTGGTCTTTTGAGCAAAGAATTTGAAAATAGGGTAAAATCTCGGGTAAAATTATCCTAAAATAAGCCTCTGAATTCCAATATATCAAAGTGATACGAAATATCTATCTTTTCAAAATGGCTCTGCTGAGTTAACCCGAAGCTAGCAAAGCCACAGGTTTATTTTATAAAAAATCTCAAAAACAATAATGCCTAGTGAGTAACGCGTATTTCGACAAATCGTTTCATTTATTTATTAAGTTGAGCAACAAATTCGAAAATATGGTGATTAGCCTAAAATTATTGTTTGAATTCCAACATATTAAATTGGTACATTAAATATTTTCAGCAAATAATTCCAAAGTGGGATAAATAGTTATTATTGAGCCTACAATCAATTCTATCGCTTTCATGACGAAAACATTGGCCGTTCAAACGGGCGGCTCAAAACTGTGCTTTCTCCAGTGGCGTAGAATTTGGGGAGAAAAACACTCACTACCTGTTCAAAATCTTCAAAAATTATGATTTAAAAAAATAAGTTCCGCACAAAACATAGCTTATTATGAGTAGAAAATGCTTACAATCGTTACAAAAGCTGTTATCTGTGGGAAAAACGGGTCCAGAGATATTCGCAAAAAAGCGATTTTTTTTTAAATTTCAATACCCTGTATCTTGAAATTGGTGCATTTCAGAGTCCTGCGCATATATTATGAAACACCATGTATATAATAATATAAACAGGGTAGATAAGTTTTCTCTGTTCATTTTGAATATACTGTGTGAAAGAGATTACCAGAAACGATAATTTTATATAATTTTCGTGATTTTTAGCCATTCAGGGGTAGTTTCCAGTGTGAGTTTTGAGATACAAATTCTGGAAATGGATATGTATGTATGTTTTCTCTATTTGTTAAGAATATATTATGGAAAATAAATCTCCAGAAATGGTGAATTTACATTATTTTCGAGATTTGTAGCTATTTGGGGTTAATTTCCAGGGTGAATTTTGAGATGAAAAATCTGAAACGGCTAGGCTCTGGAATTCATTGCCTGAGGAAGTATTCCCAACAACATGAAATCTCCAGAAGTTAAAAAAAAAAATTCCAATACCTACCTCCTATCCCTATCCTCCCTAGGAACGCACGATGTTGAACATTATAGATAATCTCTGATTATAGGGATTCTCTTTCGTGCGTTCCAAGCGATAGAAAAAAAAAAGGTACGTTTTCTCTATTCGTTTTGAATATATTGTAAAAAAGAAATTTCCAGATAATTTTACATCGACTTTTAGACAATTTCCAGCTATTGTGGGTAGTTTGCAGGGTGGGCGAGGAATGAGTTTTGAGAAACAAATTTTGAAACAGGGTAGGTATGTTTTCTCTGTTCGTGAATATTCTGTGAAGATGGAATTTTCAGAAACGATGGTTTCACAGAATTTTAGAGATTTTCACCTATTTGGGAGTAGTTTCCAGGGTGAGTTTTGAGATGAAAATTCTGAAACAGGGTAGGTATTCTCTGTTCGTTTTGAATACATTTTCAAGAACGATGATTTTACATAATTTTCAGCTGTTTGGGGATATTTTCCAGGGTGAGTTTTGAGATAAAAATAATTCTGAAACAGGGTAGGTATGTTTTCTGTTCGTTTTGAATATACTGTGAGGAAGAAATTGGCAGATACGATGATTTTACATAATTTTCAGCTATTTGGGGAAAGTTTCCAGGGTGAGTTTTGAGCTCAGTTTTGAGCTCAGTTTTGAGATACAAATAATTCTGAAACAGGGTAGGTATGTTTTCTCTGTTCGTTCGAATAAAATGTGAAAGAGAGATTTCCAGAAACGATGATCTTACATAATTTTCAGCTATTCGGGGGTAGTTTCCAGGGTGAGATACAAATTCAAAAACAAGGTAGGTACATTTCTTCTATACATTCCAAATATACTGTTCAGAATAAATTTCCAAAAACGATTAATTAATTTGGTTTTGAAAATTTTCGTCTACATATGGGGGTAGTAGCAGCCTGTTTCTGTGTATTCCTCAATTCATCATAATAATCATCATATTAACGCAAAATATTTGGATTGCGATGGTTTCAGTCCAAATCTGAATGTTAAAACGGAAGAATGGATGTGAATAACATTTTTTATCTGTGTGCACATACTATTGTTTTGTTTCTGTTAGGATGACCGTTTCTATTTCCACACCGATGTCTAGAGGGAGGATTTTCTTGTGTCGAAACTATTCATTAGCGGCCAAAACGGCAATCCTGTCACTATCCTAACTATATTGATTCACTCTTGGATTTACTATCTACTGACATTGCGTTGAAACGGCTATAGAGGGTGGTCCAAGGGGTGACCAGAATTCTGAATCTTGAACCACCCTGTATTTGTTCCACTTAAATGTCAGTAGATAGCGAGATAGATAGTAAATCAAAAGTTAAGATAGAGACATGTAAGATATAAGCCGTTTTGACCTATAATGAATAAATGAGGGAGGAATTAAAGCTCAAAGTCATCTCCACTACTTTATTATTGATGTAAACGAGGATGTAAATCAATCAAGGGGACATGTTTCGGAATTATAAAAGTACATCTTCAGCCGTTTTTAGAAGTTAATGGAGGCGAACATTATTTTTGAAATTGGATGCCGATTTCTATCATCATAATATCGTGGTTATATAACCATAACCGAACCGGACTTTTATAAGTCCGAAACATATGTCCCTTTGATTGATTTACATCAGTAATAAAGTAATGGAGATGACTTTGAGCTTTCATTCTTCCCTTCGAAAAATTCCACTCCACTTTGAGCAAACATAGACTCCTAGCAGAGACTATAATGAATAGTTTCGGCCTCGGTTTCGGCACAAGAAAATAGTAAAGTTGAAAATTCTTGATATTTTGAACACCCTATATCTCTGTAATCATTCCCGCTCGTTCCCGCTAGACCCAAAATGTGATATATTGATGAATTCAGCTTTTCCAGGAGAATCTAAAAATGCAATGAAATACAGGGTATTCCATTTTCAAACAAATTCTAATTCATGAAGTCCCGCGTTCGAGAAACATCCTGTGAAGATCAAACTAATTTTGATATGTAGTCCTTATGATATCAGAAATATTTTGTCTATCTTTTGTTACACTATGTTACACTGAAGCTATAGAGCTTTTCAACATTACGTGGACACCTGGTACATCAAGAGTAATAAAGTCTGACTGAATAGTGAATTCAGTGAAATAAGTAGGTATGAAATCGGAGGAAAAATTCAGAATGCTTCGATGAAAAAGTCTGAATTCAGAGAAAAAAAACTGAATTTTGAGGATAGAATCTCTAAAGTCTGATGGATTAAGAGAAAAAAATTGAATTCAGGAAAAAAAATTGAATTCAGAGAAAAAAATCCAAATTCTGAATTCAGAGATAAAATAAAATTGAGGCATTGTTTACGTTATCGTCTCGATTTTTGTACAACCCTGTACCCGGTGTACCCAATATCTAATATCTTATCTGTTCGGTTCAAACCTCAGATCAACAAGGAACCTTCATCAAACAAACTTTTCACGATTAGATAGGTACACGTCATTTTCATTGCAATACACGCCACTGGCCACTGGATCATACCACTGTCTGTAGGTCAATAGGGATAATATCGGATAATATACCTACTGTAATGGTGCAATACGGTGAATATTTGAATATTCATTGACGCGATTTGCTAATAACACGTGGTTGATACAATTTGAAATTTGGGTTCAACTTTTAAAATTCAGGAATATTTACAAACAGTCGATAAACTATTAAAACTGTGTTATTAGTGCAACAAAAATGTTATGTTAAGTAAACAGTGCGTAGGTACATATTGTAGAGAAGGTAGCTTTGTTGATCCCGATTTTTCTTGATGAACTTGACAGTGTTTCCGAGCCAAGAGCAAACTTGCAAAGTGAGGTTAAGGATAAGGACACAATGTTGATGTTGATGACCTCGATAATGAAAAACCCCTACCTAGGAGACCTACTTCCATGAAATTTCACATGTTGTTGAAAGTATATTAAGGTGAACTATTTTATCATAACGTGTCTTCTTTCCTTATTTCAGTTATCATCTTTCCAAATATTAGCCAACCTACCTACCTATATTATCGCTAAGAATATTCTCAATCTGTATGAAGGTAATACTCACCATTATTATAAACATGTTCCATTTTTATTCACCAAATCGCACATCCGTTCGCGTGCTCTGAAAACAATCACAGTTTCAGCATTAGAAAAAGGTAGATAAACGGAAACTAGCAAAACAACCGACGACTTGACGAGCCGAGAGAATAGCTGTTAAAAGATCTCTCAAAGTTTACCGAACACCGTACACGATGAGACTGCGTCACCGAATAACTGCTCATCGTTCAAATTCCAAGTTTATAGTACTAAACATGCAGATAAAACTAATATAATTATGTAATACCTACACAACTTATCACTAACTAAAAAAATATAATTATTAGCCTGATTGATTAGCCAGGCACCAGGCACAACCGGTGCAAACTTTCAATAATATTTTGCATGACACAAAATACAATACTACACAGTATACAGGCTACAGGTAAGTAAGTAAGTATTATAGTACACTCGGTCACTCGGCCGTGGTTTTGAGATTGATGTTTTGAGTTTCTCCGTTTTTGTTTTTGCTTGCGTTGTGTGTGGTGAGTTATGTTGCGAGTTGTTATGAGTGGTCCTGGTCCTGGTCAGTGGTCATGGTACAACTAACAGTACGTATAGTACGTCAGTAGCCACCTTTGTCAGTAGGTAAAAGGTATGATGAGTCATTGAGTCAGTGTCAGTGACGCAGTGGCAGTACGATCGGATATCGGATTCAGGATAGGTATTTAGCTTACAGCTCACACACTTGCTTTATAACATCTTTTATTAGGTAAGGTAAGGTGTACACTCGTGTTCAGAGAATATGTCACACATGAACGGTGCTAGCCCTCGAAACACCGCTACAACAAGAGCGCTAGTTAAACCGCGACATGTTCTCTGGTGGCGAGTGTACTTATCGTTATCGCTTATATTTCACTGTACCGGGTGTACAACTAATAAGAAGGGACACGCCATATGTATCTGGGAAACCGTTTGCCGCACAGGTTTCGGAAAAAATATTAAAAGTACTCGCCTACCTATATACCGGGTGATCCACGGTGAATGGCCTATTAGAAGTATCTGGAGAACGAAAGGACAGAACATTCTGAAAATTAGGATGCTTTTGATAATTGAACATTTTCTATCCGTCTAAAATATTTTCATCGATACAGTGTTGCCACTTCTATCAGAAACAAACTAGCAACTTCGTTATTTTAAATGGAGCACCCTGTATTTCATTACATTTTTATATTCTTCCTGAAGAGCTGATTTCATCAATGATGCATCACACTTGGGGTCCAGCAGGAATGATAACAGAGATAAGTATAAGGTGTTCAAAATCGAGATTTTTCAATTTTAAGATTTTCTTGTGTCGAAACAATTCATTATCGATCAAAACGGCTTACATGTCCCTATCTTAACTTTTTATTCACTATCTACTGACATTTAGTTGGAACAGATACAGGGTGATCAGAATGCTGAATCTTGAAGCACCCTGTATTTTTTCCAATTGAATTCCAGTAGATAGTGAATCAAAAGTTGAGATAGGGACATGTAAGCCGTTTTGATCGATAATGAATAGTTTCGACACAAAAAAATCCTAAAATTGAAAAATCTCGATTTTGAACATCCTATATCTCTGTAATAATTCCTGCTAGACCCCAAGTGTGATGCATTGATGAAATCAGCTCTTCAGAAAGAATCTAAAAATGCAATAAAATACAGGGTGTTCTATTTGAAATAATAAAGTTGCTAGTTGTTTCTGATAGAAGCGGCAACACTGTATCGATGAAAATATTTCAGACGGATAGAGAATGTTAAATTATCAAATCATCCCAATTTTCAGAATGTTCTGTCTTTTCGTTCTCCAGATACTTCTAATAGGCCATCCACCGTGGATCACCCTGTATAGTGAAAGTAGCCAAGAGAAATCTCTGGAAATAATTTTCAAGTTTCTAGGCTGGCCGCTATAGAGAGCCAGTAAAAAACGGATTTTTATGAAAATTTCAGGTATACAGGATGATTCAGGTTTTGATTGGGTTTTGAGCATATATATACGTATTAATAAACAATACGGATCATAACAGGTGCCAGGATGAAGCCAAAAATATGAAACAAATGAATATCCATAAGGATTGGGTGGCATGATACGCATGCGCCATGCGCTATTATAGTAGTCATCAAAGACATGCGTTTCGGTGGACAATGACGTTTATACTAGCCTTTCAATCAAAGCAGTATGTGTCTGATCGTTTCAAAACTTTTCCTTATGAATAGTCATTTGTCTTCAAAAATCGGCTTCATGTTTCGCTATGGAAACAGATAGAGATTATCCGTATTGATTATTAATACGTATATGGTTTTGAGGTACAAAAAGTTCATATAAACATGAGTCCAGTCTGGGTCAGCAGCGGGTCTACAGGGTGTCACAGTTTAATAATTTTTTTCCATTAATTGAGATATCTCGCTCACTTTTGAAGATATTAATTTGAAATTTGATGTGTTTGATACTTTCTAGGAATTAATCATTTTGACATTTTCGTTTGTTTTATATCTACAGGGTGATACGTTTTTGGGGGTATATAGGCTTCTTTATCCCCTCAGAGGTTGGCTCGAGGGGTGAATCGTTCAAGTGAGAGGCTTTTTTGCTTCTCAATTTTTTTCCGAGGAACGATCCGTTTTCGGGATAAATAAGCATATCCGTTCTAAAACGTTGATTTCATCCGAGTTTCTCTTAAATTTTGTTCTTGGACAGAATTAGTTAACAATAATGGAATATATAGGTACGCTAAAGAAATAATCACATTCCTCAAGAAGTATCTTTCCGTTCCCGATAAGTTGAATGCTATATTATTTTTCATTTGTTTCAAATGAGATTGATTAACATATTGGATGAAAAATTTGGATACAACTGGATTGGGCTCAACCAGTGGCTTGACACGAATTTTCCACGTCGTGATTGGATTGGTCGGTTCGTTGAAAGCTCGGTTGAAAGCAACCTAACCATCTACTATACTCTCTGGATCTCCGCTACTGATTCAGGTTGGCTTCATGCTCAAACACATTGCAATTTTTGTATATTTTGCATTTAGCGAATCATAATATACAGGGTGTTTCTAAATAACACCGAAAAAATTCAAGGGGTGTTTCCTTGTGATATTCTAGCAAATAAAGTTCATACATACATGTATCCTAACTTGCTCCGTTTTTGAGATACAGGATGTTCAAGTTGGAAGTTTCAATTCATTTTATTTATAACCTCCCTGTATGAAATTTCATGATGCCAAAATTCAGTATGGTTGGAGACTATGGAAGCCCTAGAATTTCAAAATGATTGTGATGGGGGCTATTGAGAAATCTCAATGAGAGTCTTGAAAACACCTACATTAAAATTTGGAGTCAAATCGAATTTTTAATATTTTCTCAAAAACTATGCTAGATACAAAAATCACACAGAGGATGAAAAAGTAGATATTTCAATAGTTTAATCTAATAAAAATAAGAAACTCAGAAAAACTGGTGGTGTACAAAGACATTCACCATGAATATCGATAAATTTGCCCACTGTGACGCCACTGGAAATATTATTTCGAATCTAATTGCACTAGAAGAAGCTCCATATTACTATCAACAAAACCATAACGTTTTATTGAAATTGATGAAAAGGCAATTGAGAATTGAATAGAAAAAAGAATTTTCATGGAAACATTAATACCCTGTATCTCGAAAACGAAGCAAGTTAGGACACATTTTTATATGAACTTTATTGTCTAAAATCTCACAAGGAATCAACCCTTGAATTTTTTCGGTGTTATTTAGATACACCCTGTAGAAGGCATAATTAACAAGTAATACCTAGCACGGATATGCTCATAATTATCTCGAAAACGGTGCGTTTCTCGAAACAAATTGAATTAAAAAAAATCTTCAAATTGAACGATCCACCCTATTTGGTAATTGTAAGATGTCAGAGGCAAACTACGAAAAAGTTTTGGGGGAATAAAGAAGCCTCGAAGTGTCGAAATTTTGTATGCAAAGAACCGAGCAAAGAACATACTACAACTGTAATAAAATGTCAAACTTGCCATAATTTAGGCCACGGTGAGGAATCAGAAGAAGATTGAATAGATTTTGTTTTTTTCGTCAGGTTCTCAATATATTTAAAATGTTCATAGAAACTATATTTTCAATGTTTAATCTATATTACCGCCAAAAAAAAATGCGTTTTTGTTTCACCTAAAAACAAGTCAAATTCATGGTGGTGTACAAAATACACCGTGCGGAAAAAGTTCGAATTAATTAGCGAGAGTAATTAAGGGTTATGCGGGAAAAATATCTTCAATAAATCTATTCAAGGAATAAATAACTGCTATGTGCGCGTGTGTTATCAAAATCTGCTATATATGTATAGGTTTTCGTTCTTACATAGCAGCTTTTGTTATTGTATTTGTCAGGTATTCGCCTTGACACTTCTCAGTGACAAACTCATTTGTTCGCCAAGGTCACCATTTGTCACTGAGAAGTGTCACGACAAATTCCCGACGAATTTGCGAGAAAATAGTTATTTATT